GCCCGGAGAGGCGCCCCCGCGGGACTTTTCGAGCCCCGCCGGCGCCACGCGGGACCCTTCGGGCCCCGCGGGTGTGGACGGGGTGGTTCGGGCTGGGGGGTCGACGGCGGGGCGAAGTCATGTCACTGCAGGGGCCCAGGAGCAGTTCGTCTTCCCCCCCCCCCAGTCCCCATATTTTTCCGATCTTCGGCGATTCGTTGTGTCTGTGCGTCTTTTCCCCCTCCTGAACGCTGCCCTTCTCATGCTTTGAACTTCTGACCGACATTAGGGCTGCATGCTTGCTCGGAAGGTGGTACAGCTTCCACGGAGGAGCCACGCCATCTTGCCCGAGAACCTCCAGGGAAAGCCACGAGAACCTTCCACGGATTCGAGAAGGCCAATATAATTATCGGGAAGCCAGGAAATACCGCTACTCCGCTTCACCCCGGAGCTCTCCCGGAGTGCGAATCCAACGGCGGCGACGAGGGCCTCCCGGGAGGCCCAGAGGGGGGAAACGAGGGAAGGGTCGAGGTGCGGGTACCTTCTTCCTCCTGCATTTACTTTGAGAAGGTGAGGAAGGGTCGGGGTGTGGGTTTATGCTGCTCCCATCTTTCTTAAACACCACATCCCAGAAATAATTTCGAGCACCCGGAGAAGTATCGAAACAATGTCGACCGAGTATGGCATCCCAGGGCCCGACACGTGAAGTGACTCCAGTTTCGGTATACTTTCTTGGTGCTCGAAATTCGTTCGGGTTATCAAGGCGAAAAAAGGTTGGAACATCATAACTCTGATTTTACCTGGCCGTGAGGGCCCCTCGAAGGCCACGACTGCCCGACAGGGAGGGCTCTTCGTCAGGCGGGAGACTGGCCTCCCTGGTGGCCTGCCTCGCTCTCCCCGCCCAAACTGACCTTCGTCACACGCGCGGGATCGAAACGCTGTCATGAGAAACCCCACATATTAGGTCGGGCGCGTCACCCTACAAGCGGATTTTGGACAGTAAAGAGAAAATGCGGAAGACATACAGAAAAATAGTAAACCAATACTCAAGGGGTCATCCCAAGACTATTTTTCTACTATCTTTGAACATTCCTCCTGTAGAGGGACATGACAGACTTAAACCTAAGACAAACTGTCAAACAATGAAAGAACACTGAGTCCCTCCCCAATGACAAGGATTCCTTCTTCAGCGGCCCGACTGTAAATGGCAGCGGCTTTCGGCGAATTCCCCCCCCCCTCCCCCTCGCCTCCCCTCTACCTACCCCCCCCCCGCCCCTCCCCCATCTTCCCAGTCTACGACGAATGCAAAAATCGAGACAACATCGGACCAATATCCATCGGAAATCTCTGAACATCGGCGGGTCTGGAGGATGTATCGGGCGCCGCGGCCTTCCAGCGCCTTCCCGAACGCTCCGAGAGCGCTCTGGGCCAGATTTATCTTGACTCCTTCGCATGAATAGGTGGCCCTGGCCCAACTCTTCCTCCTCCTCCTCCTCTCCTCCTCCTCCTCCCTCCTCCTCCTCCTCCCTCCTCCTCCTCCTCCTCCCCTCCTCCTCCTCCTCCTCCCCCTCCCCCTCCTCCTCCTCCTCCCCCTCCTTCTCCTCCTCCTCCTCCTCCTCCTCCTCCTCCTCCTCCTCCTCCTGCCCCCCAACTGTTCGCTCCATTCTGGAGCGCCTCCGGCCCCGCCCCCGGGCCTCGCGATGGGGTGCTCATGGAGGCTGTGGGGGGGCGGCGTCCCTCGGACTCCTGGGGGGGCACCCTGGGGGCCAGGGGCACCGCCGGCAGCACCCGAGGTGAGCCGTCCGTCGCGGCGCTCGCCCGCGTCCGCCGCTGCCCTCCCTAGGAGGAGGAGAAGCACTGCACAGACAGAAAAACTTCTGGCGCTCCGCGCGGATTTTTGGGATCTGCGCTGGAGCTCCCTCCCGGGATGTGGACGCCCGAAATGGGTACCGAAAAAATGGGTACAATGCCCAACAGCAAATGTTGTCCCGAACCAACAGCGGCCGCTGTTGGGCAGGCGGCCCTGTCTCGAATGGACACAGGCCGCGGCGGCGTGGACAGCGAGCCCTGTTCAAAATGAACAAGATCCGCTGTTGGGCATTGTACCCATTCTTTCAGTACCCATTTCGTGCGTGCAGACGGGAGCGCGCCAGGGGCGGCGCCGGAGGCGCCGCCGGGGAGGCCCAGCGCGGATGCGCTTACGCCGTTCTTTCTTCTTTGACTCCCCCTCCCCGCCGTCGTCCGTCGCTGCGCTCGCCCTCCCTGCTGCTGGCCTTAGGTCGGGCCTGCCCCCCTACTAAAGGGGATTTTGGACGAAAAAAACCACCATAAAACACATCAAAAATAGCTAAACAACTGTCCCCGGACCATTTCTGGACAATTTTTGAATATTCCCCCTGTATAAGGGGGACAGGCCCGACCGAATTTTTGCCGTCGTCGCCATCGTCGCCGTCGGCGCCGGCGCCCGCGGCGGCGGGCGGCCCCGCGCCGTGGTGGCCGGCTCGGGCTCCGCCGCCGCCGCCGCCGGCGTGCCCGGCTGCGAGGCGGCGGAGGCGTCCGACGGGCTCGCCGGCGCAGCCGTCGTCGGTGGCAGCGCCGCGAAGTCGGCTCCTCACCGCTCGGCCGCCCGCCGACGCTCGCCGGCGATGCGGCGGCGGCGGCCGTCGCGGCCAGCGGCCACGCCAGCGACGGCGACAAAGAATGCGGCGCCGACGACACCGCTGGCGGCGGCGGCGGCGACGACGGCGCGGGGAAGTCGGCTTTGGGCCAGAGTAGAAGGTCTGGCGCAGCTGGGTCTACGGTTAGGTCGGGCACGTCCCCCTGCCGGCGGGTTTTGGATGACAAATCACGACCACACTGCGGGTGACAAGGATGTTAGGGGTTGGGGGGGAGGGGTCCAGCAATGGGCAACACTATCGATTCCACTATCGATCTCGCTATCGATCCCACTCGATCGATCTCACTATCGATCTCACTACCGATATCACGATCGATCTCACTATAGATCTCACTATCGATCTCTCACTATAGATCTCACTATCGGTCTCACTATCGGTCTCATTATCGATCTCACTATCGATCTCACTATCGATTTCACTGTCGATCTCACCACGGGATACCACGGGACAGCGACGGGACACCGGCAGGACACCAACGGGACACCAGCGAGAAACCGGCGGGACACCGCGCGCCACCGGTTGCCGGGCGGAGAACCTTTTGGTCCAGCCGCGGCCCAGCCACGACGGGACACCGGCGGGACACCAGCGGGACACCAGCGGGACACCGGCGGGACACCCCGCGCCACCGGTTGCCAGGCGGAGAACCTTTTGGTCCAGCCGCGGCCCAGCCACATGAGAATTCCCTCCCCCGCCCACGCAGCTTCGCCTCGCCCGCACGCACGGCACGAACACGAAACCGAAATCGATTTCCCGCTAGGGGGGCCCTCCGTTCCACTTCGATCTCACCCCCCCAACCTCCGACTCAAAAAACAATCGAAAAGTCGTCCCAAGACTATTTTCTACTGTTTTTGAGTATTCCTCCTGTAGAGGGACAGGCCCGACTTACATCTACTGGCAGAGGTGCAATAGTAATTGCAATAGTTGGCGCCTGGATGCAACAGCTTGCGATACCATATCTGCACGCAGATGCGACTGCGCACCTCGTTTCACATGCAATTGCTGGTGCCCGTGCAACATTTCGCGACCCCCAGGATCCTTGCGGACTGATGCGCGCAAGCAAACAGTGGAGGCCAGTCCACAGGAGAAACCTTCCACAAGAAACGCAACCCTGAGACCCCAAGAGGTCCATGGATATTTTTGGTGTGGGACCGTCGCGATTTCCACAGAGAACCCAGCGAACCCCAGGAAACCCAGGGCATCCCCCTCCTCTTCCTCCTCCTCCTCCTCCTCCTCCTCCGCCTCCTCCTCCTCCTCCACCTCCTCCTCCTCCTCCTCCTCCTCCCCCTCCCCCCCCCCCTCCTCCTCCTCCTCCTCCTCCTCCTCCTCCTCCTCCTCCTCCTCCTCCTCCTCCTCCTCCGCCTCCGCCTCAGCAGGGTGCTTCTTGGCATGGGTCTCCACTGCACACGCTCAGTGCACGAGGGCACCCCTCTCACCGCCGACCCGTCTGCGCCGGACCCACGACTCCAGCCCAGCTCCGCGGGCGCACTGGCCCCTGCTGTCGACCCAGTCAGGCGTGCGACCCTGAAGGGGCCCTGGGACACACAAATAAATACACACACAAATAAAACATCCCCCATATTTTCATATATTTTCTGGGTTTTTGTCTTCCCGCCCAATTCCCACATTTTCCCATATTCTCTTGGGGGTCAACGATTAATTGTGTCTGTGTGTTTTTTCCCCTCCTGAGACCCGCGCGCACCGCTCGTGGGCCCCGCTTCGCCGAGGGGCCACCAGATCGACAAGGGGAGGGAAATTTCAAAGTGTCCCCCGAAGTGTCGGAGACCTCCGAAGGTCCAAAAAGAGTCGAGAATAAGCCTACGATTGTGTTTGTTCATGATGCGGGCTCCCCGAAATCCCGACCCTTTCCCTGGGGCCAGCTTTTCCCGAGTCGTCTCTTGACGGTGTCCGGGCCTGGCGAGGGCCCCCAAGGGGCTGGAGACGGCGAACAGACTCCGTCTTGATCGATTCGTTCAAGCCTTTGGATGCGCTTGGGCCGATCCAGACTCGGCCGAAAACTGATCAGTGCGCTCGGTCAACAAGACCTGCCGTCGCTCGCCGGAAATGGGTACGGACAACCTGGGTACGATGCCCAACAGCAGATCTTGCCCAGAACAGGCAGCGCCCGCTCTTTGGCAGGCGCCTTCTGCCTCAGACTGGGCAACGTCCGCGGCGACGCCGACAGCGATCCCTCTTCGAAACGGACTGGAACTGCTGTCGGTCTTCGCCCCCAGTCCGTCCGCACCACTCCGGTCGGACCGACCTGCAGGCTCGCCCCGGCGCGCCGCCGCAGCCGCTTCTCCCGCGCCGCCGCGGCCGTCGCCGCAGCCGCCGCGAGCACGTCGTCGTCGTCGTCGTCGTCGTCGTCGTCGGCGTCGGCGGCGTCGTCGTCGGCGTCGTCGTCAGCGGCGTCGGCGTCGGCGTCGGCGCCGCCGCCTCCGTCGGCGACGTCTCCGACGGCGGCGTCGTCGTCGTCGTCGGCGGCGGCGGCGCCGCCGCCGCCGCCGCCGCGCGGGGCTCCTGCCAGCGCAGGGGACGTCGGGCCGAGGGTGGCGGGCGAGCGTCCCGAGGCCTCTCGCGGGGGCGGCCGCTCGCCGCCGCCGGCGGGCACCCCGCGCCGCAGCCGCCGGCGAGGCCGCCGCCGCCGCGCGCCGCCGCGCGCTGCCGCCGCGCCGCCGCCGCCGCCGCCGCGCTGCCGCTGCCGCTGCCGCCGCTGCCGACCGCCGATGCGACCGCGACGATGCCCAGGGAGGGCATGCCTCCGCGCCCTCGCCCCTTGCTGCCCTCCTGCTCATGCCTCGTTGTATGCTCCCCTCCGTCCTCCTCCTCCTCCTCCTCACCCTCCTCGTCATCCTGCCCCCCTCGTCCGTTTTCCAAACCCCCTCCTCCTCTTCCTCCTCCTCCGCCTCCTCCTCCTCCTCCTCCTCCTTCATACTTACACATTATGAATACAGGTTGTTTCCGCGTATTGTTTTTTGCACGCAAGATTGGGCAACGCTTTTGTTTACAATCCGATTGCTTCTGGTGTTTAAAAATGGTGTTCCATCTGCACCGCGGGACTCATTTTCGGATCGGCGATTTGCTTTCGTCGTTCACCATGGCGCTCTCGCCCCAGCGCGGGCCACCTTCCTGGATCCGAATCCTTTTTCATCGTTGCTGGCCCCCTCATTTTCCAACCTCCGCCTTCCCGTGGTCCTTCTGCTGCCTCCGATCTTCCCACTTCAATTCCTGCTGCTGCGTTTCGTTTTCGTCCCTCCTTCTTCCTCCTCCTCCTCCTCCTCCTCCTCCTCGTACTCCTCCTCCTCCATCCCATTGCCCCCGCTTCGCCCTCTCGCCTCGCGCGCGCGGACTCCCCCGACCAGGACGAACAAATGCCCACCGCCCTCGGTTGCAACGAGGTCGAATGTGGACCCCCCGCGCGGGCGAGACAACGGCGCGCGCCAGAACGCCGCTCAGCGGCATGCGACGAGCGACAGACTACGACTTACAGACCGCGCCCACGGCATCTTCGGGGGCGTCCAAGAGGGGGTCGCGTGCAAGGGGGCGCAAGTCATGGCCCGCAGCACGTGCGCGGCCCAGGGGGGGGGCCGGGGACGCATTACAATAAGAAGAGGCGCCCTGAGATATGGGTAGATACCATGGCCCCCGCCGTGATATCCCCCCCTCCAGCCGTCGCCCCCTTTTCCAAGACCCCCGACTCCATAATCTTCTCAGGACGTCGATCTCCAGGGGTCTCGACCCATTCCCGGGGACCGGTTTTTCATCCTGAATCGTTTTTTAACGGTCCCGTGGCCCGGCAATGACCCCCAGAGGTCGAAAACAGCGAAAACCCTCGCGCCGCGTTGTTTCACGCCTCGAGGGGGTCTGGGTTTGCCGCCCCCGACGTCCAACAAGCAAGGCTGGGGGCCTCCCAGATGGGGTCGCAGTTGATGTTGGAAGCGAACAGGGGGCAGCGACTGCAGAAGCCCCTGAAGTGGGGCGGGCAAGAAAGCTGGGCAGCGTGACTTACCTTCTTTGCTGGTTCGCGTGGGCGTCCGAACGACCTGCGCGTCTCGGGCACTGCGCCGTCTGGAATCGCGCCGTGTTGCGCTTGCACGTTTGGCGACGCTGTGATACTTCTCCGCCGCATGCAATCAGGGCGCCCTCAAGTTGCGGCCATACAAACGCAATTTCTGCCCGCTTGGCGCCCCAAACCGACCGTCCGAACAGGGCGTGTCGCACGGTCTATCGGTGACGGCTTGACCGAGCACGACTCATGCGTCGACATGCGCCGGCCGTGCAATATTGTTTTGCAATGTAGCCCGATGAATCCGGGCATCGGCCATAAACCGTAAAGAACTGAACCAAAATGGCAACGGAAGGTGTGGAAGGGAGAAAAAGAAAAAGAAGTGGACGAGGAAGTGGGAGAGGATGTGAGGGAATGTAAGGGGGGCGAGGCGGCTGGGGAAGAAGGGGATAAGGGCGGCGAGCACGTATCGGCCACGACTGCGACCCAGGCCCGAGCGCCCGGCCAGGCGCCTGACCCATCGACCACAGGAGTACCCCGACGGAGCTCGGAACATTGCGTACAACGGCCTTTCTTCGGAGGGCGAGGTTATCGATGGGGGCTCACCAATGAGCCATGGCCGAAAACACGTACCGCAATCGTGGGGGGAACCCGCCACCTCTCCAACGGAAACCCCAGGCACTAGAGATTTTGTTGCCCAAGTTCATCGTTGTTGTCATCATGTGAGAACCGGTAGCATTGCATACGCTTTGCGCCTCTTCCGTGCGTTTCCCCCCTTCAAAATATCAGAATTCTGAGACGCCCGCGAGCACATCTTGTCCCCCCTCGAAGATTTCCTTCTACTAGTGCTTCCGAGAATGCCCGAGACGAAGCTGACGGGAGATCTACGCTCCCCCCTCCCCCGTCCTCCTCTTCGCATTTCTCCTGCCCCTCCCTCCTAACTCATTCCCTCTCTTACTAAATCTCCTCTAGTAACTTCCAGGGGACCTCCATTTTCTTCCTCCGCCTCCTCCTCCCTCCTCTCTCCTCCTCCTCCTCCTCCTCCTCCCCCCCCCCTCCCTCCTCCTCCTCCTCCTCCTCCTCCTCCCACCCTCCTCGTCGGTGTTTCGATCGACTTGAATTGCCTGCAAAGGAGATCCAGTCGAGGCGCACTTCGGGCGGCCCCCAGAGGCCCGCAGGAGGACTCAGCAATCCCCGTATTTTGGTGCTCGGACCCCCCCCAAATCGTGCGCAGCAGGGCACGGGGGCGCCAAAGGTCAGCTCGGTACCCCACAGAGGCTCCTGGACTGCCCCCCCAACCCGTGCTCGCCATACCCACATGGACCACCAGGGGGGCCAGGTACACCCGTCAACCTCTACAGGTCGACCACTACACGGGGGGGGGAGGCAAGCCAAATCTACAGGTAGAGCAAGAACCTGTTTACCCCAAATTGCTTCTACAGGTACAGCCAGTACCTGTAGAAGCCAAACTGCTTCTACAGGTACGACCTGCACCTGTTTACCCCCCTTCCCTTCGAAAAAACACACACCAAACGAGCGGGGTAAACAGGTGCAGCCTGTACCTGTTTACCCCGAGGGAGTACCTGAAGGGACAACGGCTTCTACAGGTACAGCCTCTACCTGTTTACCCCAAACTGCTTCTACAGGTACAGCCAGTACCTGTAGAAGCCAAATTGCTTCTACAGGTACAGGCTGTACCTGTTTACCCGGACGCAGTACGTTGGCCCACCAGGACTGCCGTAGGGAACACCGCCTAGGTACACAGGTCGGGCGTGTCGAAGGGTCGTGGAGGGAGGGGGGCAGGAGTAGGAGGGGCAGGGCGGACCATCGACAGAAGGGGGGGGCGAGGAGGAGAGAGGGAGGGAGGCAAGGCCGGAAGGAAGAATGGAAGGAAGCAAAGGGGCACGCTCTCCCCCCCTGCGCAACTACCAGGGGGGCAGGATTTTCCCGCCCTGCCTCGTCGTGGCCCGCCGCTCCCCTGCTCCATTTGGCCCTGTGGCCCCCTGCTCCCTCCCCCCTCCTCCCCCCCGCCCTTTTCGCCCCTCCCCTGGGGTTCGTCCCAACCCCCCCACCCACCCCTCCACTCCCTTCCACCCACCCCTCCACCACCCCCCTCCACCACCCCCTCCACCTCCCCCTCCCCCCCCTCCACCCCCCCTCCACCTCCCCCTCCACCCCCCCGGATGTCCCTCGAAACTTTCTGGGAGCCCCCAGAGGGCTCGAAGGGGGCCCCAAGAGGGTTCCAAGAGGGCTCCAAAAGGGCCCCCAAAGGGCTCCAAGAGGGCCCAAACCCAACTCTATGATGGTGACGACGACGATGATGATGGAACCTTATACCCACACTGCCCAATATTGCCAAGGAAAACTACCAGAGCCGCCAAGAGGGCCCACAACTGCCTCAAGAGGCACCCCGACTGGCCCCAAAAAGACCCCAGGAATCGCCAGAGGGAGGCCCGAGAAGCTACCGAAACACTGGGGAGAAGACCGGGGGGGGCGTCCAGGAAGGCCACGATCAATAAGAATGTTGCGGCAACTCTGTGTTTTTATGTGGAATTCCTCAGCCCGTCGACTCAGGATGGCTCAAACCAATGCGCCTGGGGGCGTGGGAGGGAGGCCCGAGGAGCCCAGCGAGGGCCCCAAACGGTTGCAAGGCGGCCGATAACAACCCCAAGAGGCCCCCCCCCAAACGGCTCAGGAGGGCCCCGATACAATCCTGTTTGGCCATGCGTCGCCGATAAACAAGAAGGCCCAAATAGCGACCGAACATCTCGTCTGACCTTCGAGAGGGTTCCAAGTCCACCCAGGCCACAGCCAAGCGGGCCGAAGAGCCAAGACAGCACACGACAGCGCCAAAACGACCCCAAGATTTGCACCCTGTCCAATCTACGGCATGCGACAACGATGTTGTACAATAGCGCGTGCTGCAGCGCACGGCTGTGGCGCCACATCAGCGAAGTGATACATCACGCTACGCTTAATGATACTTGAACCTCGTCCACAAAATCCTATATTGGCGCCTCGAAGATGTGTCGCAAGGAACGCGAAAATCTATAAGTTGCGTTGGTCGGCTGTGTTCCCCAGGGGCGTTCTGCAGTCGCCTTACGAGGCTGCCCGCGGCTCGCTTCCAAAGTTGATGGGGTCGGAAGATCGCGCCGCATCGCCATTTCATCGGCGATGCATCAGCGATGCACCGGCGATGCATCGTCGACGTCGGCGATGCATCCGCGACGTCGACATTGAGAAAATCGGGCTCCGCATCAAGCTGCATCGTCAATGCATCGGCGATGCGGCGCGATCCTCCGACCCCATCCACTCCGACCCCATCTGGGAGGCCTAGAAGGTACTGAGAGGAGCAGCCTCAGGCTCTTTGGGGACCTCTCGGGCCGTCTTGGAGGCCCTGAGGGCCGGGAGGCCGAAGCCGTCGACACATCGTAGCTTTTCCAACAAGGCTTGGTAATTCTCACCTTTTCTGTCTTCCAAAGCGCCCCAAGAGAACCCCCAAATCGCCTCAAGACGGCCCCGATAAGAGGTCCCAACGCGCGCCACCGAAAACCACTGGAATCCTTCCCTCCAAGATGGCCCGGGAGCCTGCAGAAACCCGCCACTGTGCCCCTGGCACGAAGTGGAGTGCCCCAAGGCTCACAGCTATGCTGCTGCTGCAGCCAGGATTGTGCTCATCACTGTGCTGCTGCTGCTGCTGCTGCAACCAGCTTTGTCGCTTCTCACCACAAATTTCCTGGCGCTCCAGGGGTGCTCCGCATGACTTCCGGGCCGGCTGCAAAGCAGCAAACAAGCAGCAGACTTTCGCGGCTCTCCCCACCGAGCGCCCAAGACGGTCAACGAGCGTCTCTTGACGGCCAAAAATGGCCCCCAGACGGACAACGAGGGCCTCCAAAAGGCCTCCCAAAAGAGCCCCAAGAGGCAAGTTTCACAGCTTCTCCATTTGTTTCTGGTGGCTTTTGGGGTACTCGCGTTGCCGGCTTCCCGACGTTCCAAGGCGGCTCAAGAGCCCCCCAAAGATCGCCCAAAGACGGCCCAAGAGGCCCCTAAAGACGGACCCAAGACAGCCCAAGAGGGCACCAAGACACTCCGAAAGGACTCCAATACTGAAGGGAAACTGGGACACACAAATAAATACACACAAATAAAAAGATTCCCCATATTTTCCCATATTTTCTGGGTTTCTGTCTCTCCCCCACACTTCCCATATTTTCCCATAGTTTCCTGGGGGGCGACGATTAATTGTGTCTCTGTGTTTTTTCTCCTCCTGGAATACGGCCCAAGGAGCCCTCCAGAAGGCTCCCGCAGGGGGCCCAGGCAGGTTCCCACAGTGGACGTTCCGAGCCCGCGGCTCCCAGAAGCCGCCCCCAAGAGGCCTCCCAATGGGCCTCCAAGGGTGCCCCCAGAGGCAGACATTTCTGAAGGGGCCCCAGGACACACAAATAAATACACACAAATAAAAAGATGTCCCATAGTTTCCCATATTTTTGGGGTTTCTGTCTCTCCCCCCCACTTCCCATCTTTTCCCATGTTTTCCTGGGGATCGACGATTAATTGTGTCTGTGTGTGTGTTTTATCTCCTCCTGAATCTCAACGAACAACCTAGAGGCCTATGACCGACAACCCACGCACGGTGGCGGGATTGGCCGAAAGCCATTAGATCCGCCGCCCCCCTGTTGGCTTAACACAGGGGTGCCCGGCGTGCTAGATCCTTTCGATGTTGGTTCTGGCTCTGTTCCACAGGAACTCCCCCTGGGGCTTCGGCCGATCCCGCCAGGGTCCTGGAAAGGCCCCGAAACGACCTCAACGACCGAAGAAATTCTCCAAGACGGCTCGAGATGGCCTCTAAGATGGTCTCGTTGGCCCAAGATGGCCTCCAAGATGGCCTCCAACTCGCCAAAGATGGTCCAAGATGGCTTCTAAGACGACCCAAGAGTCCAGAACGCCTTCAAGTTCGTCCAAGAAGCCTCCAAGAAGACCCAAGATGGCCTAAGGCTGGCCAAGAGGCCCCCAAGAGGCCTCCAAGACGTCCTCCAGGAAGGCCCGAAAGAAAAATCATTGATGTTCTTTTGAAGGATTTTGGCGTTTTCTTCTTATCAGCTCTCCGACGGCCCAAGACGGCCCAAGAGGCCCCCAACATCGTCCCAAGAGCGCCCAAGAGGCCTCCAAGATGGCCCCATGACAGCCCCAAAGGCCCCCAAGAGGGCCCCAAGAAGAGCCCAAGACGGAGCAAGATGCTCCCGAAGACGCCGAAGATGGCCTCCAAGACGGCCAAGAAGGCCTCCAAGATGGCCTCCAAGACGGCCCAGAAGGCCTTCAAGACGGCGAAGATGGTCCCAAGATGCACCCAAGACGGCCCAAAATGGCCTGAAGATAGCCCTACACTGCCCAAAAGGCCCGCAAAAGGCCTCCAAGACGGCCCACCCAAGAGCCCTCCAAGACGTTCTCCGGGAAACCCGAAAGCTCGGAAACCACCTGGTCCGACAGCTCGCCAGAGTCCGTCTTCCCGGAAAGCTTTCGAAACCCACTCGGGGAACGCGTGGCCCGATAGCTTGGCCAAGCTCAAACCCAACTTTCGGCCACGTAGGCGCTTCCAAAAAAGCAGGGGGCGGCGGTGATTCGCCGCAGGCGTCTTCGATATCCGCCCCCTGTTGATTCACCACAGGGGTGCCTGGCGTGCTAGATCCTACAAACTTTGTTTTTTCCAAAACCAATCCCCCTTGGGTTTCGGCCCCTCGAGCCGGCCCCGTGGAAAGCCGCCAGAAGGACCCGCAAACGACATCAACGTCCGAACCAAATCCTCTGAGACCGCTCAAGATGGCCTCTAAGATGGTCACGTTGGCCCAAGATGACCTCCAAGTTCGCCCAAGATGGTCCAAGATGGCATGCAAGGCAGCCCAAGAGGGTTCAAGATGCCTCCAAGTCCGCCCAAGAAGCCTCCAAAACGGTCCCAGAGAGCCCGAGAGGCCCCCAGGAGGCCTCCCAGACTGCCCAAGAGGCCTCCAAGAGGACCTCCAGGAAGGCCCGAAGAGGCCGAAATCATCAAAGGATTTTAGCATTTTCATATTTTCGGCCTTCGAACAGCCTGAGACGGCCCAGGAGCCCCCAAAGATCGCCCCACGATCGCCAACGAGGCATCCAAGATGGCCCCATAATGGCCCAAGAGGCCCCCAAGACCGCCCCAGAAGGGCCCCAAGACGGCCCAAGAGGGCCTCCACGACAGCCACAAGGGGAGAGGGCCTCCAAGACGGCCCTGGAGCACTCCAAGAGGGCCCCAGTCAGCCCAGCAAGGCCCCCAAGACAGCTTCCGGCGGCGTCAGTCAGACGGGCCAGGAGCCCACCAAGACGGCCCAAGATGGCTCTAAGATGGCCCGAGACGGCCCAAGAGGCCTCCAAGAGATTTCCAAGACGGCCCAAGAGCCCTCCAAGAGGGCCTCCAGGAAGGCCAGACGAGGCAAAACTGATGAATTTGCCATTGGCTTTTGAGGGATTCTGGCATTTGCTTCTTTTCGGCCTTCCGACGGCCCGAGACGGCCCAAAAGCTCCGAAAGATCACCCAAGAGGCCTCCAGGATGGCCCCAGAACGGCCCAAGAGGCCCCCAAGACGGCCCCAAGAGGGCCTTCAGACGGCCCTGGAGCCCCCCAAGAGGGATTCAAGTCGGCCCAGAGAGGCTCCCAAGATGGCTTCCGGCTGCATCAGACAGGCCATGAATGCTCTGAGACTGCCAAAGAGGCACCCGAGAAGCCCCCAAAGGCCCCCAAGAGGCCCAAGGAACCCCCATGATGTCTGCAAGAGGCTCCCGGAAAGCTCCCAGGAGGCCCCAAGAGTGCTCCCGGAGGCTCCCCACAAGATGCCCCCTCCTCCTCCTCCTCCTCCTGCTCCTCCTCCTCCTCCTCCTGCTCCTCCTCCTCCTCCTCCTCCTCCTCCTCATCCCCCTCCTCCTCCTCCTCCTCCTTCCCTCCTCCTTTCTCTCCTCCTCCTTCTCCTCCTCCTCCTCCTCCTCCTGATCTTCCCCGCCATCCTCCCCCACGTGTTCCCCGAGAGGTTTCCACAACGCTTGGGGAACACATGGTCCGATAGCTTGGCAGAGCTCTTGCCACAACGCTCGGCCACATGGGCGATTTCAAAAGGGGGCGGCGGTGATTCGCCGTAGGCGTCTTCGATTAAAGAGACCCTACCATGAAGCCCTCGTGAGGCCTCCACGAGGCCTCAGTAAACCCCGCCGAGGTTTCCGAAGAGGCCCCCAGAGAGGTGTCCAAGAAATCTGTGATTCACAACCCAGGCTCCGTGGCGGGCTGGGTCCTTCCGCAGCTGAAGCTGCCCCCTGGCCTGGACGCCACCGATCTCCCAGGTCGTCCTCGCCGTGACTCAGGCTCGCTGTCTTCACTGACATGAGGCGGCGCGATGAAGTGGGCGGGCCGAGGGGGGGAGCCTTCTAATCAGGCAGGGGCCTCCTTGCAGAAGGGATCGAATGCGGCCGAGGAGCTCCCCTCGACGAATCTGGCCTCCTCTGCGAAACCCCGTTGCCCCCGTCAAGGCCGCCCCCATCACGCCAAACCCTTGCGCACGCCGCCACATCATCTGACCAAGAACCTTCGCACTTCGCGCCGCGCGGAGCAAGACACGCGACGTGCCTTCGCGCCACACTCGCGCGACCACCAGCGTGGCCCACACTGCACACCGCAGGGCACGGCTGCATCCGCGCCCGTGCGGGTGGCCTGGGCTGCAGTCGAGCTGGACTGGAGAGGACACGCGAGAGGACGCCAGGCCCCTCCGGAGGCCACCTTGCCACAGGCATGCAGATGGCACGGGCCCCCAAAACACACACACAAGACACGAGGGCGCACTGGAGTTGGCAGGGCCGACGTGCGAATCAGACTCGACTGTAGCCTGGTGGCGCTCCAGACATCCCTTGCACCCGTGTGCGAGCCCCTGGGCCGCCGGCACAGGAGGCTCTCCACTTTGTCGCGGCGATGCGGACATCTCCGACACCCGTGCGCGGGCCCCTGGGTCGCCAGCACAGGAGACTCTTCACCCTGTCGCGGCGATGACAGCAGCCATCTTCATTCGTACAAGAGGTTGCCGTCTTTGTCGTAGAAGTGGTGGGCGTGAACAGAGCCCACCTCCACGTAGTCCCCAGTTGCGGGATCGTACTTCGTGGGGTGGTACTCTGGCAGCCTGTGCACCGCCGTGAACAGGAACTCCGAGAGCCGCTGGGACTCGTGGAGGGCCTCCTTGGTGAGACCGCTGCTGGCCATCCACTGGGAGAGCGTCTCCCAGCTCGCCAGCTTGTCCTCCGGCACGAGATCGTCCAGCTCGTAAGCACGGAAGAAGACGCGGTGGACGCCATCGTCGACGGGGTCTGCCCCGTGGTACGGCACCACGACACGACCACTCTTGGGATGCGAAAGGCCCTCGGCATCCTTAAGCGAGATGTTGGCCACAGCCCACAGCGGGCCGGCGGGCTCTCCCCTCTCGTCGAACGCGTCGTCGTCGCTCGCCACCAGCACCAGCGCCTTGGTGCCCGGGGTCAGGCGCGTGGCGATGGTAGAAGAATAAGAAGCTGCATAAACACCAACTTTCGGAGGTCCGCGCGGACCTCTGGGGTCGGCGGTGGACCCCTCTCACTGGCGCGCAGGGAGCGCCAGCGGTGGCGCCGGAGGCGCCGCCAAGGGGGCCCAGCGCTCTGAAAGTTCATGGTTACGCCTACTTCTCTTCTTCTAGATGAGCTCTGGAGGGAAGTCGTGGCCGCCTGTGGAGCGAAAAGAAAAACCATAACCACAAGTGGAAATGTCAGCTTCGATCTTGGTCACATTCCATCTTGGTCATCGTCGGTTCGTTCACCCTCCTCGCAAATCGGCGACGGCCAGCGTGGACCACGGCCAAGGTCGGTATCGACAAGATGCCGCGCCGTCTGACATCCTGTGTTCTGGGGTAAGGTCAAGGTTTGCGCGCAGACATCCCCGGCCAAGTAGTTCCAGCTGGCCTCAACACACACACACACACACACACCCGGAGATCCGATGTCGTGATTTTTTCAATGCGGGGTCCCCGGAAATCTCGACCCGTTCCCCAAGACCGGTTTCTCATCCCGGGTCGTTTTTTGACGGTCCCGGGGCCCGGCGAGGGCTCCACGCCCCAGGCGTGGCGCGCGGAGACCGCCCCGGACGCTGCTCGGGGGGGGCCGCTCGTGCCTGGGCCGGCGGGGACTGCTCGGGGGGGGGGGCTGCTGGGGCCAGCGGGTGACCAACCTCCCATCGTTTCCTACATGTTTCCAGGGACCGACGATGAATCGTGTCTGTGTGCGTTTTTGTCCCCTCCTGAGGTTGGAACATCCTGGAGGCTACACGCCAGGAGTGACCACACAGGCACATATTTTCCTACATGTTTCGAGGAACCGACGGTGCATTGTGTCTGTGTGTTTTTGTCCCCTCCTGAGGTTGCAACATCCTGAATGGGGCCCTGGGGCACACACATGAATAGACACAAAGAACAGGATCCCCCTATACTTTCCCGCATCTTCTGAGTGCTCGTCTTGCCTCCCACTTCCCATCTTTTCCCATATGTCTCAAGGAACCGACGGTTAGTCGTGTCTGTGTGCGTTTCTGCCCCCCCCCCCTGAGGTTGGAACATCCTGACGGCTACACGCCAGGAGTGACCACACGGGCAAAGAACCTCCGGGGTGCGGGGGGCGCCGTCGGCGGGGCGTCCGCGCCAGGGGGGGGGGGGGGGGGCAACCCGGGGGCCCAAGGACACACAGAAAACAAAGACACACGAGTCCCAGGATTCGTCTCCCCCCTCCCCGGGAATCGACGATGACTTGCGTCTGTGTCTTTTCCCTCCTGAGCAACGCCGAGCGCGCGAACCAGTGCTGAGGGGACCTGGGAGGGCTCTGTGCGCAAAACCAGAAGCTCGGGCGGGTGGTCATGGGGGGTGGCCTAAAGGAGGAGGAGGAGGAGGAGGAGGAGGAGGAGGAGGAGGAGGAGGAGGAGGAGGGGGGGGGGAGGGGAACGGCCCTGAAGGGGCCCTTCGGGGCCCTCCTGCGCTTCCCTACCCCCCCCCCTTGCCGTGACTCGCCATCGCGCGGACGTCCATGCCCCGTGCTTTTTTTTCGAGCTCGCGATCGCTGGAGTTGTGCCGCGAGGCGCTCCAGGAGGAGGAGGAGGAGGAGGAGGAGGAGGAGGAGGAGGAGGAGGAGTCAGGAGGCCCCCTGCCGACAAAGGCGTGCACACGCCCGAGCGCTGCCAAGACTGCCGCCCGTCCGAGAAAGCACGTTCCGCGTGGGAATCTCGGGGGCCCCCTCTGGACACCCGGAATGGGTACGGGAAAACTTGGCACAATGCTCAACAACAAACGTTGTCCCAAACCAACAGCGGCCGCTGTTGGGCAGGCGGCCTTCTGTCACAAGGGGACACAGGCCGCTGCGGCGCGCACAGCGGGTCCTGTTCAGAATGAACAGACAAGAACTGCTTTTGGGCATTGTGCCCGTTCCTTCCGTACCCGTTTCGCTCGTGCCGACCCCCGAGCCTATCATCTGCGGGGTGTACGCGTACCCCGGCAGCGGCGCGCCCGGCTTCTGCCGCTCGCCCTGCAGCAGCAGGAACGAGGCGCCCGCACGGGCCCGCGGCCGCGCGCGCGGCCGCGCCGCAGGGTCCAGCGGCCCCGCGAGGAGGGCGGATGGCTGGAGGGCTCCGGGGAGGGTGGGCAGACCTTCTGCGGCAGCTGATGATGGGCATGGTTTCCACCACCACCACCACCACCACAAGCTGGAGAGGGGAAGGAGGTGGAGGAGGAGGAGGAGGAGGAGGAGGAGAGCGGGAGGAGGAAGAGGAGCAGACGGAGGAGGAGGAGGAGGAGGAGACGGAGGAGGAAGAGGAGATGGAGAAGGAGGAGGAGGATGAGACGGAGAAGGAGGAGGAGGAGGAACCCCTCTTCTTTCTGTTTATGGTGGTGGCGGTGGAAAACAAACACACCAGCTGATCCCAGATCCCCTTGAGTCATGGAACAATCACGACGGGAGGTTTTGCCCTATTCTCGGGCGTTGGCAGAACTGGGTTTAGTGGGACCTGGTTTAATGGTGTGTACCGGGGGGCGCCCCCCCGTCCCATTCCACTAACCGGAATTGCCGTAACCCGAAAAGCATTAGCTATGGCAGACCTGGTTTAATGATTCCAATCCATATTTTGGGCTTCGGGGACCAATCACTAACCGGCTCCCCTTAACCGGGGTCCTGTATACCCGATATTCGCGGCCCCCGGGGGCCCTTGCCGGCCCCCGGGGCTGTGACAGGAACGACGCAGCATGAGAAGCCGGTCCCTGGGGAATGGGTCGAGAACTCCGGGTAGGGGAGCACATGCGAACCCTACCCCTACCCCGCACGATTTCTGAGGGGGAGGGTGGGGTCTACTTCGTTCGGGAGCTCCCGAGCGAAGTGAACCCCACCCTCCCCCTCAAAAATCGTGGGGGGTAGGGGTAGGGTTCGCATGTGGCCCCCTGCTGGAGACTGGGGGTCGACATCGGGAAACGATCATGACGACGGGGGTCTGGGAGAGGGGAGCCTATCATCCCATCTTGCGGGCTCTTGCGAGAGGACGCTCGCCGAATCACAGGCTATCAAGAGCCAATCTACACGAATGCGCTCTGAAGACGGAAATGCGAGAGTACGCCAGGCTCCCTTCCTTTGCCACCGAACAACCCCTGAAATCCGAGCGTTCCCAGTGCTTCCCAATGGGCCTCCTCGCCAAAGCTCATGCCCAAGGACCCTCAGAGATCGATCTGGCTCGGAAGGTGACGCAAGAAGATGGATATCCTGGTCGAAGAAATTGCGCAGAAAGACTGGCGCAGAAAGAAGGATCACGGGCGGCGCACATATCCGTAGCCGCGCCCTCGCGGTCTGGACTCGGGGGCGCGATCCCGCGGATGCGCGATGGCACGGATACGTTCCGCTCGAGGCATCCGCGAAAAACGCCCCGTACAGAAGGGTTAATGAAATAAGGAACGATAGCGAAGGAAACAAAACTTGTCTTTGGCCCCAAACTCGCCTGTGTGCACGAGGAACGCAAGAAGAACAACCACGGATAGATCTACAATCGACGCGCTGCCAACAGAAACGCCAAATATGGAACGAAGGGGCTTTCCTAACCACGGCGAGTCTCGGCCACGAATAGGTTCCCAAACCCAGATCTAAGGGACGGCCCAAAACCCAAGCCCCTCCTGAGCCCCAAGTTGTCCGTACGTCTTGACTCTAAAGAACAGCCAGCCCCGTCCGAACCCACAGCGGTCACTCTTTCAGCGTCGTGGCTGAATCCGCGGTGTCGCGGCCCAAGGGTCTTGCCGGCGAGGCCACGGATACGGACATGCTCTTCGCCCACGAGGGCTGGCGCGCAAACCCAGATGTCAAGCGATGATTTCTTTTTCCGAACCATCCTGTGGTGTTGGGTCCTCGTTTTGAAGAGACGGTGCCCCGCGTTCCTCTCCTCCTCCTCCTCCTCGCCCTCCTCCCTCCAGGGTTCGCATGCCTCCCCACCACCCATCTCGGCACACCCCTCACACGTTTCGTGGCCCCATAGGGAGCTCCACCGAAGGCCCCAGTGGCAGGGTTCGCATGCCTCCCCACCACCCATTTCGGCACACCTCTCACACGTTTCGTGGCCCCATAGGGAGCTCCACCGAAGGCCCCAGTGGCAGGGTTCGCATGCCTCCCCACCACCCATCTCGGCACACCCCTCACACATTTCGTGGCCCCATAGGGAGCTCCACCGAAGCCCCACGCGGCACTGGCGATCGAAGGGGGGGACAATGTTGTTGCGGCTCGTTACGGTGCTAAAGATATCGCTCCGCTGAATCCGCCCCCCGGATTATTCTTTTGCGCTCTGGTGCTAACGATAACACAAGGGGGGATTCTGGATTGCTTCACGGGGTTACCCGACGGAACACGGGACGGAACGCCAAACATGCAGGGAGCGTTCGGGTAAAACAGACCCAACCAAATAGCTCGAGGATCGGCGGCACTCCGCCAGACACCGTCGGGGGGCGCACGCGGGGGCAGGAAGGTGGCCTCACAGGGCCCCTGCAGGGTCCCATGAACTGCTGCCCCGCGAAAAGAAGGCGTTTCGAAGACAGCACCGGTCTGTGGGGAAAAACACACACTGTGGGAAAAACACACACTGTGGGAAACAAACACACACTGTGGGAAAACACACATACACACAGAGTCTGTGTGTTTTTTCCCACAATGTGTGTGTGTGTGTGTGTGTGTGTTTGTTTTTCCCAGTGTGTTTTTTCCCCACAGGCACCCCCCCTGCCGTCAATTCCCTTCCCTGTCGGACCCGTGCTGCGCGGCAATCTCCGCCGTGCCGCACAGGAGAACCAAGCAAGGCTTCCAAGGCAGCAGAAAAACCGTCTCCAACAGCGGGCTCCAGAACCTGCTCGACAGGCTGGACGGGAAGCAGCAAGAGAGGGAGAGGGGAAGCGCAACGAAGAAGCCCCCCTCTTGCCGCCCGCCCGCACCCGAAAACTACGAAAACCACCCACATAGGCACCATAAACAAAAAGCTGCAAAAAACGCCTCCGGCGGCGAGTCTGATTGAGTGAGAAGAAGGATGTACCTGAGCGTGGATGTGGTGAGTCTGAGTCTGAGCGAGTCTGAGTGCGCATGAATCTGGGTGGGAGCGAGCGTGATTTTGAAAGAGTCTGAGTCCCACCAGCCCTCTGGGCGTCGGTGGTTTAAGGAGTTTCCTCTTCCACCCCTCCTTCTTCCCCTTCGGGGAGGGGTTTACCCCTCCCCCTACCCCCTCCCCACTGACCTGGACAGGGGGTTCCGCGGCGCGTTGGAGCGCCCAAGACGGCCTCCGCGAGGAAGCCAAAATCATTGATTTTACCATGGTTTCGGCCCCATTTTGGCCTTCTGAGGGGGGGGCTGAAATTTAGGAACCTCCCTTCTTTGATCGATTTCCTCCACGATGGCCACAAGAGGCCCCCAGGATGCCCCAAGAGGCCGCAGGATGGCCCCAAGATGGCCCCACGAGGCCCCCCAAGAGGCCCCCAGGAGGCCCCCAAGAGACCCCCAAGAGGCCCCAAGAGACCCCCCAGAGGCACCCAAGGTGCTCCCAGAGGCCCCAAGATGGCCCCAAGAGGCCCCAAGAGGCCCCCAGGAGGCCCCAAAGAGGATTCCGAACGGCCCACAGAGGCCCCCCCGAGGCGCCCAAGACGCCGAAAAGCCCCTCAGGACGACCCTCTACTCGCCTGGGCGTCGTTTCTGGACGGGCTGGTGGGGATACTTTTGTTTTACGGCCGCAGGCGGAAGCGCCAGCGGCGGGCAGTCACGGTCGGGCCGCGGCCGTGACTAAATTCCCGAACGCGCGCGGCGCAGCTCAGGCGGCGGGAGCAGCAACCCAGGGTGTCTGAGGAGCCAGCGTCGTGCAATCCCAGGGAGTCTGAAGGGTCAGCGCCTGAGACAAAGGCTGGTGGGGATACGCGAAGCGTCTAGAATATGACCTACTCTGAGTGTGATAGCGGGGTCTGGGTGAGGGAGAGGAGGAGGAGGAAGGAGGAGCTGGATACGTCTGCATTACAAGCACCCTCACCTGGGCTATGGGGCACTACGATTACGTCGGGCGTGTCCCCCTACAGGGGGATTCTCGACGAAAAATAAAAAATACCCCAGACATCTTCTTTAATGAATAAATAGTCTGGGGACTATTTGTGGGTACTTTTCTACCTTTTCGAATATTTGTTGGGGTCTGTTTGACTTTTCGTCGAAAATCCCCCTGTAGGGGGTCAGGCCCGACTTAGCACTACAAAAAGACACCTCCAGAGGCGAGCCCTCAAAAAAACATCTTAGGGATGCACCCTCAAAAAATAAGGGAATCCCTAAGATTGGCATCGTGATGAGGAGATGCCCAGCGTAGGGATAGGGATATGTTCCAGGCTGGTAGTTATAAGAACCCTCACCTGGACTATGGGGCACTACAAAAAGACACCTCCAGAGGCGAGCCCCCCCCCCCCCGAGCCGACGGGAGGTCCAGGCGCCTGGCGCCGCCCCGCCCCCGCGCGCGCCCGACCCGGCCGCCCGCCGCCTCGGCCCACCCGCCGCCGCGCCCGCCTCCTGGGGAGACCAAAACCAAGGGCTCCCAACTTCGCGCTTCGCGCTGCGCGAAGCGCGAATAACTTCGCGCTCTCGCGCCGCCCCCCCAAAGGGAGAAGAGGAGGAGGAGGAGGAGGAGGAGGAGGAGGAACGAGGCCCGCGAAGCGCGAATAATTTCGCGCCCTCGTTGGAGCCCTTGGGGAGACAAACGAAATGGCACCGCAACTTCCCGGACCTCTCCCGGGGCGCCTTCTGACCAGGATTCCGAGGCGCATCCAGCGGCGGCGACGAGGGCCTCCCAGGGGAAACCGAGGGAAACGTGGCGGCATTTGAGCAGGGACCGACCGTCCAGGCAGTCGTATCGGCCTAACACGACATGTCCGTAGAACAAAGCAGTGTTCTTAGAACGTACAGCCCATATTTGAACAGAAGACGGCCTCAGCCAGAAATGTTCGAAGAACACTTCGTGCGAGCCACAGAAGTTTCTTTGAGCATTCCCTGGCAGGTCCATGTAGGCTGTATCAACGTATAACTTGGAATGCTCTCATATCTGAAACCGTCCTCCTCCCACCGTCCCCTCCGCGTCGGCGAACCTATCCGGCGCAATTGGCGCTCCAGCTGCTGCTGCCGAAGCGCCTTCTGCTGTTTCACCTCGGCCCGGCTGCCAACGACGCAACCTCGAGTCTGCCGACGCGCCCCCCCTGGATCCATGGCTGAGCGAACGAGCGAGCCGACCTCCTCTGGCCATCGATCGGACGTCCATTCCCTGTGTTTTTTTGTCGGTTTCGTTTGTGTTTTTTTGCGAAATGATCAAGGTTGCTCCTCGATGGTCCTCGCCGAAGGAAAAATGCACACGTCCGAGCGATGCCAAGGAGCCGACCTCCTCTTTCTCCTCCGACCTCCTGCGCCGCGAGCCCCGCCGCGAAGGCGCTGGGCGAGCGCGCGCCCGCTGCCCGCCGCGGCCCGCGCCACTGCGGGCCCGCTGGGCGCCACGGCGGGTCTGGGGACGACGCTCGTCGCCGCCGCCGCCAACGTCGTCGCGGCCGTTGTCCCCGCCGTCGCCGCCGCCGCCGCCGCCGTCGCCGCCGCCGCCGCCGCCGTCGCTGCCGTCTTCGTCCTCGTCGTCGTCGCCGCCGACGCCGACGCCGCCGTCGTCGTCGACGCCCTCGTCGTCGCCGCCGACGCCGCCGTCGTCGCGGACGCCGTCGCCTGCGGAGAGCCAGCGCTCCAGCGCGCTCCTCGCCTCGGGGGGCAGCGGCCCCATGGCGGCGTCCGCGCGGCGCGGCGCGCCGCGGGGCGGCGCTCTCGCGGGGCAGCCCCGCCCGCCTCTGCCGCCGCCTTGCAACGCCGCGATCCTCCTCGTCTCCCCCCCACCTCCTGCCCCACCTCCTGCCCCACCTCCTCCTTCTCCTTCTCTTCCTCCTGCTCCTCCTCCTCCTCCTCCTCCTCCTCCTCCCCTCCCTCGCCCTCGCCGTGCTCCTCCTACTCCTTCTCTTCGTGTTCCTCCTCGTCCGCCTCCTGCTCAACACTCTCCGACCTCTCCCGATCCTCGCCCTTCTCCGATCGTCGTTTCTCTGCCCCCTCGTGGCCACTCGGATGCCCCATCCGCCTCTTCTGGGACTCACGACAGGCGGGATGACGAGGAGGATGATTGTGGCGGCGGGGAGCAGGAGGAAGAGGTAGGGCAGCATGAGGAGGGAATGATGTAAACACGAGGCGGGATGGTGAGGAGGATGAGTGTGGCGGCGGGGAGCAGGATGAAGAGGTCAGACAGGATGAGGAAGGGAAGGATGAGGACACGAAGCGGGATGGTGAGGAGAATAAGTGTGGTGGCGGGAAGCAAGAAGAACCCGTATAGCAAGATGAGGAAGGTAAGAATGAGGATGATGATGGTGGCGGTGGCGACGGTGATGCGGAAGACACGCAGGACTGTGAGGGAGGACGAGAACCGTGAGGAGGCATACATGGGGCGAGACAGAACGAGAGCAAACAGAGACACAGAGTGGAGGAATGAGCATGGGGGCAAAGCTCAATACATACATATACACATACATATATGTACTTATATATACGTACATACATATATAGATACTCAGAGAGAGAGAGGGAGAAAAAGCGAGGAGAGAGAGAGAGATGCAACGAGAGAGCGATATATATATATATATAGAGAGAGAGGGAAATACAACCATATATCAACAAACAAGAACGGATATATATATATATAGAGAGAGAGAGAGAGGGAGAGAGAAAATGAGGAAGGAACATGAGGAGGAGAAGGAGGACCAGCACGCACTTGGATAGTGAGTTCGGGCTACCTGTCCACAAGGTCGGGGCGGCCTCCTGCCTGGCTTCTGCTGCTTCTCTGAGTAGCCGAGCCAGCGGGACTGGAGGGAGACCAGACCGAACTCAGTCGGGCTGGCAGCGGCACTCCTTGGGCTGTCGGCCCAACTGCGCTCGCCGCAGCTGAAGCTCAGCCCCGTTGCGGGGCGGCCTCAAACGACACGTGCCAGGTAAACCTCGCGAGTTGCCTTCCTTGAGCGATGTACGCGTGTGGCACGCCAGGGTGCTCGTTGGCTGCTCGAGGTGCTCACAATACAATGAAGCATGCCTCCGAGGGTTGGAGGCAAGGGGGGCAGTGTCCAGAACAATCCACTGCCTGGCGCCACTCCTCCCATGCTTTGATCGAGCGGACGCGAACGCAGCAAATCGCGCATCGGCACTGGCCCCCGACAGTCGCCCAGACGGGGGCCCTGGTGGGGCGGGGGGCGGAGGGGGAGGAGAAGGAGGCGGGGCCCAAAAGTCTCAGGGGGCCAAGGCCGAGGCAGGGAGGGCAGAGGCTCTTGACGGGCTTGGCCAGCGCCTCCTTCCTACGAAGGGCAATCGCAGGCCGCTCTCCAAGGGATTTAACGGCATATCGAAGATACTTCTTAAGCAGAGCGGTGCCGCTCAGATACTGCTCTGCTTCAGCACGACTGGGTTAGCTACCGAGGTTCGCAGCGGCCTTGGCAACTCTGTCTGCGGCGCCGTTGCCGCGCGCCAGAAGGAACTCTTCACTGTCAGGGGCCGGGGGGTCTAAGTTCTGGTGAGCCTTGACTTTCTTCTGGGGCCGGAGCTGCAACATCCTCCGCCCGCGAGCACTTTAACACCAGCCCATCTGTTCCTACGAGGGCGCCCGTCGCTGCCGTGCAGCTGGAGCACCCTGATGTAATCCGAGTAACCATTATCGATGCTGGGGGACAAGCGGCCCGCCGCGACGGCGGCAAGATGTTCGGCGACACCCGAAATTTGGGATCCCAAGGCACCGAACGCGACCGCTAAACGTGGCAAACTCTTCTCCGGTTGCCATGCAGACCGCGGCAAAACCAGCGGTGTTGAAATTCTAGAACCCGTGGCATGCGCAACTGCAATCGACGAAGACTTATCCCTCAAAAGGTTTCCTCGGGCCTTCAATTGGGGTCCTCGACGCCACAGCCTAGCAGCTCCCAAACCTGTGCCAGGCGGCGGGTCTCCCGAGAAAGTGGGCGCATATTGGAAACCGGGGTGGAGAGGAGAGGGCTCGGGATGGGATCTTTCAACCAGGAAGCTCCCCGCTGGTGAAATCCGATCTGGCGATTCTCGGTCTCGGGGCACTCCAGGATTGATTCCCCGGGAAACCGTGCGCGGTTCATCATGAACATCGAATGCGACCAGACGGCCTCGCGCTCGCGCTGGGGGAAGGGGGGGGGGGGGGGGGAAATTATGTATAATGCCATGCGGGCCACTCGCGCGCGTCGGGTGCCAGAATCTTTGGAAACCTCCATCGCCAACGCGCGGGCGCCATCGTTGTCGTCGGCGCGAGCAGCATCGGCGAAGTCATTGGCCTCGCCGTCGCCATCGTCCTCCTCGCCCCCAACATCGTTAATGGCATCGCCGCGCCTACCATTGCCGACGCCGCCGTGGTACCGCGCCCGCCCGAATCGCCGAGTCGCGCTGGAATGCCCGCGCGCCAACGCGGCCTGCGGGGTTCGCTGGGAAGTGCCAGCCCGTCAGCGCCACCGCGGCCGCGTCGGTCGCGCCTGACTAGGTGGCCACCCTGCGCGCGAGCATTCCCGCGCCGGCGCGGCCGCGGCGACGCGCCAGCCAGCGCCGCGCAGTCATCGCGTTCGCCGCCTCCTGCGTTCTGCAAGCCAAGTTGCGGGGCGGTCGGCGGGGTGATTGCGCGAGCAGTGGGATTGACAACTCGCCTCAATCGGCAACTACTGGCAACGCAAAAATTCTCAACGCCATGCACAACATAAACTGTGCCTTTTTGTGCTCTTTTCTAAAAAAGAAAATGGACTCTACCCCCCGGGCGTTATCACTCCCCGTTTCGGGTATGTAAATCATGTATAATTCTGACCACATGTCCATCCGAAATATGAAATCGCCATGTGCGAGGCCAGCCGGGTTCCCCCCCTGAGGGTACCGTTTCTTTGTTGTTTGTTTGTTTGTTTGTTTGTTTGTTTGTTTGTTTTATATATATAAATGCATATAAGTATATATAAAAATAGGAATAATGATTATTATTATATATATATATAATAAAAAAACGCTATGCGGTGGCACTTTGGGCAGTGTTGTTCGACAAATCCCTTGCAACAGATGGGACGAAGTGCACGCGCGCGCCGTCCCGTCCCGCGCGCATGCCGAAATCCTTCAAAACCTTCGGTGTCGGAAGTATTTCGCAATCGAGTTTCCAAACAACATGCAAAAACACAGGGTTTTGCAACATTGATTAGCTAACAACACTTACGCGCGAGCTCCTGCGAATTCTGAACGGGCTTCACGCGCGCGCATGTCGAACTCTCTCGAACGCCCTTGCGCGTGTGCCGTCGCGAGAATCTCCTGCAACAAATGAAACGAAGTGCAAACGCGCGCGTCATCGCGCGCGTATGCCGAAATCCTTCAAAACCCATCGTGTCCAAACAACCTGTTTCGGAAGGGTTTCAAAATCGTGTCCAAACAACCTACAAAACACACAAGGTTCCGTCGTTAGCCTCAGCATCGTCTTCCTTCCTCCCTCGTCGTTATTATCATCAGCGTCGCAGTCTTTTCTCCTTTTTCGTCGTTTGCGTCGTCGCCGTCCTCCCTCCTCCCTCGTCGTTGTCGTCGTTCTCGTCGTTGTCGTTGTTGTCGTCGTTGTCGCCGTCGTCGTCCTCCCTCCTCCCTCCTCCCTCGTCGTTGTCGTCGTTCTCGTCGTTGTCGTTGTTGTCGTCGTTGTCGCCGTCGTCGTCCTCCCTCCTCCCTCGTCGTCGTCATCGTTGGCGACGTCGTCGTCGTTTTCATCGTCGTCGTCGGCGTCGGCGTCGTCGTCGTCTGCGTCGTCGTCGATGTCGGCGTCGTCGTCGTCGCTGCCGTCGTCGTCGTCGTCGGCGTCGTTGACGTCGTTGTCGTCGTCGTCGGTGTCGTTGTTGTCGTCGTCGTCGGTGTTGTCATCGTCGTTGTCGTTGTCATCGTCGTCGTCGTCTGCGTCGGTGTCGTCGTCGTCGTCGG